TGAGTGATTAGTTTTCACTACTAATCATTGTAGGCGAAACCTGGATTCATCATTTTACAGCCCAGAAACAAAAACACAGTTTAAAGAGTGGGTCGCAAAGGGAGAATCAGCTTCAAGAATGGCAAAAACTGTTCCTCGTGCTGTGAAAGTGATGGCAACAGTTTTCTGGAATAGCCGTGGGACGTGTCAGAGGATTATCGTTAAAAGGAAAAACCATTACGGGAGCATAGTATGCAACGTTACTTGGCAAGTTGAAGGCAGAAATTACGGAAAACAACCACATTTCTTAAAAAAAAAAAACGTTTCACCAAGACAGTGCTCCATCTCACACCTCAGCGGCTGCAGTGGCGAAAATGCATGAATTACGATTCGAATTGCTTGACCACCCGGCATCAAATGACTTTTTTCTTGTTCCGTAAAAGAAGCACTTGGAGGGCAAAGATTCTCTTCAAATGAGAAGACATTACAGAAAAAATTCCACATGTTATTTAGGCGGGTTAAAAAGATGGGAGTATCGCTGGAAGAAATGTATAGACTTGCAATGAGACTATGTCAAAGAATAAAGGTAAATTTGGGGGAAAAAATACCTTTTTTCTTTGTTTTTAGATCGGTAACTTTTCAGACAACCTATGTATATATAGTATATAGATTCTCACTCTGTTACCTGGATCGGTGAGCTTAGTATTTTTAAATTCGGCACTATTCCATTTTGAGGACCGTAAAAAATCGCCAAACTATTGTAGATGCTAGTGCTGCCAAAAATAATTGCGGCAACCCTAACCCAAGAAAGGAAGTATAATAGTAAATAACTATCTCAGATTATCATCTTAAATTAGATAAAAGGTTAATTTAATATAATACTTTTTTATTGTTATAATTTATACTATAAAAAGGATAAACATAACTGAATGGAAGCATAGGCTAACTTGAGTGGCTACCGAGTTATCGCTAAAGCATTATTTCATCTCGTTGGTTGTTCAAACATAATTTTCTATAATGAATGATGCCTTTTCTTTGAAGGAATTCTATTGCAGACTTTTCGTCATTGGGCAATTCCCAAATTGTTAAATCCACAGCGTTATCAAAAAGGATTTAAAAATTAAACTAGTATTTCAATGACGTCTTAAGAAATAGAGCTATCTAAACTTACGCAACTATGTAAACTAATCCTTAGAATTATCTAAACTTACGCAATTTGAAATCAGCGTGTACGCTAGATTTGGCGCGCTGTTAAATGGGCGCGTTTGCTAGATTTGGCGCTTTTGCGCATACATTTTCGCTGCAATTTTTTTACGGTCCTCAAAACGGAATAGTACCTTCTATTCTTATATATTGATAAGCTGTGCATTTTTTGCTTTAAATTAATTGAATTACCTGGTCTTTATATTCCGGCTAAGGTATTTATGCCTTTAGCTATTCTGCATGCAATAGTTGTAGAATTATCAACAATTAAAAATTTTTAAGTGGCGACTAACGGATCGCCATTTGTTCACATTTGAAACTTACTGGAATAGTACGTTAAGTCAGTTTCTGCACCTACTGTGAATTTTAAGGTGTGGCTGCTTGCTTTGTCTGGATGCTGTTCTACTGATTGATGGCACTTTGGGTGAAGAAAAGTATTTCATATTTGAAAATTGGGTATAAAATATGTTCCTCGTAATATGTGAACTTGATTTTTCTCCACTCTCTTTAATTTTAATTTGCCGTTGTATAAAGATCCGCCAACAGTCGTAAATCCCTTTGAAAAGCTTTCTTTAGATTCTTTGAATCATGTTTTAAGACCTTTTTCTTCTCTTTGATTATAATAAATGCATCTCCTTTATTGCAGTCATTTAAATACACCCAGGATTCATCTATTGTGACATTTTACCATTTTTGTCCATACAAATGTTATTTATAAAGAATTCTGCAGCGGTTTCGAGTTCATCGTGGAGAAAGACGGTGCACATTGTGTTTTTTCGCCATTTTAAGATTCGGATCTGCATTAATCGCATTATTTACCGTGACACTAAGCATTTTAATGATTTTACGACTGTCCTTTGCGGATTTTCTTTTAACATTAAAGATCTTAAATTACAGCATTCGAAACATTCCGTTTTGTCCTTGGATATGGATTTGGAACAGTTTTTCCTCTTGAAGTCGAACATTGAGCTCCCCCCTCCTTTCTTGTTGAGGATGTTACTATCGTAGCTTTAGATATAGAAAAACCATGGCTTTCTCAGCGTTTTTTGAAAACCAAATACGAATAATTTTCTTCGGATAGAGTACAAACATGGCCTTCTATCCATTGCTTTTTTAAAGGCGCCATTTTGCATATAAACAAAACTGTGAAGTAACAGACGATAATGTAAACTTTTAAAAATATAGTTGCAGTTAAATAAAAAGTTCCAAGCTTTTTTTTTTTTTTTTACAGCAAAGCAAAATGGTTTAAAATTGTGCGTACAGCTAGTCATGTTGGCATACAAAATTTAAGACAGTTCTTTTTTGTTGAGTATTCACTGGCATTTTTTTTTTTTTTTCCTGATAAATAACATGTACTTATTATTTAATCTTTTTGAAACAACGTTGACTAAAGTACATACAACAGATTACGAAGACCGATAGACGAGCTCTGGTAGAGAACGTAGTGAAATGCAGATTTTCTCGCGATTTCTCAAAGGTCTTAAGTCTCGACATTTTTCTGTCTTATTTTAAATGAAAAACGATGTTTTGCGCTATTACTTATTCGATATGGACGAGCGAGGTGTTTTTTTTGGGGGGGGGTGAGTTAAATAACATTTTATTCAAATTTTTGTTATCGTTCCTGAACTCAACTTCCCCTCGCATTTCCTCGCCAGGATGTAAATTTAAATTTAAGTGAAGTGAGTATTTAAACGGGTGAATCTTTGAGTTTATTCAGAGCGTGTTTTCGCTGGTCAACGCATATTTCATTACTTATTTCGCTGTTACGCTAGTACACCCCTTGGCCATTTCGGATAATTGTCACGTCTGTTAGGTTTTGTTGAATCAACCCAAGTTAGCCGTAACTTAACCTGCTAATCCACCACTATTCTATTTAGACTTGAATTGATTATGTTATTACTTATTCGATATGGACGAGCGAGCTGTTTTTTTATGGGGGGGGAGTTAAATAACATTTTATTCAAATTTTTGTTATCGTTCCTGAACTCTTCAACTTCCCCTCGCATTTCCTCGCCAGGATCTAAATTTGAAGTTAAGTGAAGTGAGTATTTAAACGGGTGAATCTCTGAGTTTATTATTGAATTGATTATAACGTTTAAGTTCCACCTCAAGTGGCCAGTGTTATTGTAAAGCGCTAAGTACGTGCCTTTCTGAGTTGAATTAATAAAGGGTTATTTTCACCCTTCTGATGTGCTGGTATTTCATTCACGCATGCGCGAGAATTCACCAGGTTCATTTGTAGGATCTAGTTTAGTTTATGTGGCCAAAAGGCTAGATCTTGTACAACATTTAGCGAAGCTGAAGTGTACCGGATCATCTAGAGAGAGGGGCTCGACGTTAAACAGTTTTAATAAAAAAGGCATTTAAGGCATCTTCATAATTGCAAAATCAGCATTAAATTCAGCTTTACCTAACATGTATTTAGTAGGTTTCGTTAGCTACGCTGAGAACTTCAAGCAGTGTTCTGTCTATATCGGGATACAGTGGATGAAGTGTGGTACGACTGTAGCAATGGCTACGATGGTTCTCCCTCGAAGATAATTAAGTCACAATTTTTTTAAAAATACACATCCTGCCTCTTTTATATCCTCGCATAAAAAAAAAGCAATTGAAATTAAATCGGGACTATTTATTAAAGGGCCAAAGAGTAGGATTGGCCTTGCCAATCCGCCGAAATCATTACTATTGAACGTGATTTCTGGTCTTGTCACGGTTAACTTGCTAGACCCTAAGATCAAAATGAGCGCTTTCTAATGTCAAAACTTGGACACATTTTAATTACTTTGATATAAAAGCAAAGACGCTCGGTTTTGTGTAAAGTATAGTCATTCAAAATTATCTCACTTTTCTCAATAACGCCTCTACTTAGTGTGTTCATACTATTGTAGTTCTATGTTTGAATACCTTTGAAAATCCACAAGCTCCATAAAAATGTACGAAGTATAAAGAAGAGGAAGAAAAAATTCCGATTGGGGACTGAAAATAATTGTGTCTAAATATCAGATGCATTCCCTAAGATAAATGCTAAGTTTGTATTCATTCAAAATCCTAATTTTTTTATATTTATTTATTTAATGCATTATTTTCCAGTTTACTTAATATTATCCTGTATAACACATCTAATACAGGTGTTAATTTTTTTTTAAAGCCCAAAGAGCGTTAGCCCAGGAGAGCTAGTAATTTCGTTTCGACATTTTGCGTTGATTCACTTTTCAAGCTGTTGCCAAATATTATCACCATGTCTTATATTTAAAGAAACTAAATAATGAAGAATCTGCCTGAATGCATGAATGTTTCTTCCATATTGAAAAAACAACTGTACCTATAACTATCCAATTTTTAATAACGTAGTTCTCCAACCGAATATGGATACCTGGAAGCCCGAATTTAGAATTTTGGATTTTTTCCAATGTCTATTTCATATTTCGTAAAACTTCAACGAATTTTTGATTAACAAACTCAACGATTTCAAAGCGAGCAATGGCAACACTGTACATGGGAAAAAAAAAAAAAAAAAAATTTTTTTTATTTCCAACGCGCGAGACTGTGTATCGGAAATTCTAAAGATATGCAGTTTGATGTTATTAAGTATTAAGCTGTTAAATTCAATTTTATGTGTTTTAAGTGCGAAGAACACTATATTTAATAAATAAAGGTAACACACAAAACGTTCAAAAAAGCCTTTTTGGGCGTAATATAAAATCTGAAAGCTTTCAGAATTTTTTAAAATTTCGTTTCATATTGCTGTTATTATTTCTTTAGTATTTCATATTTTTTTCTTTATTAAAAAATTAATTTGAAATTTGAATTTTTTTCAGAGGTGGAAAAGAAGATATTTTAAAATCAAACCCCGAAAATTATATTACGCAAAAGATAGCAAGGTAAGTTAGGTTTAAAATATAATACTTTTTTTAAAGCATTTGCATTTAAATGAATTTTCACAAGAAATTTGATGTTATAGGAATTCAGAATTTGGTGTAATTTGAAAAATTCTAGAAGATCTGAGTATTGTGAAGTTCGTTCGCCTTAAAAATAAGAAAGTTAGCTTTACTATTAAGAAAGCTAGCATTTATTTCAGTAAAATTTCATAATTATTTAGAACTGTGAAAGTAACAATGTGTGTAAGATGTGGGAACAAAACTCTTTTCTTTAGAAATCTATGTAATTTCTTGTGGCCTCTTTCTAATATGAACAGTGTCGATTAGTAAATCAAGCGCTTAAAATCAGTCTTATGAAAATAAAAGGTGTCTAATAAAGCGAAGCAGAGATGCCGAAAATGCCACTATTTCTATTTTGCAGCTATTGTGTTTCTCGAATTATTACGAATATTATTTCAAACCCTGATAAATCATAACCTGCAAAGTTTAAGACGCATTATACTACCTAAAATTACCTCATTTTTCAGTAATAGGCCAAATCAAAATCAATAAGAATTCGGTGTTCTCGTCAGGCTTGCCTCAAGAGGGCTCATTATAAAACTGCTTTTGAAAAATATTTATTCAATATGGTCACTGCGAAATGCTAATGCAGCGACATCTCGATTCACAAATTTAAGTCAGGCCATTCGCCATCTGAAATGTTCATATATCGAAATTATTGTCCTTTTAGCAATGAATGTAAACCTGATTAATCCATTTGATAATTGTTTATTTAAAATTGATTACTTTGTAAGGATCCTAAGTTTTGCTAACGTTTATTTTATTTTAAATCTTTACTATCACTTCTTATTTTCTACTTCCGGCCAGAATTAAAAGCTTTAACTTATTTATGCAAATTTGTCTGGCGAACGCCAAGTACTTAAGTTGTGGCTTTTTGCCAAGCGAGAGAGAGGAAGGAGTTAGTAGAAGCAGGCCGCTTGCCTTAGCAGTTTTACTCGGTTGCTGGTTGCCTTCCAGGCCAGAAGTTTAATCCTCTTAATAATTTTAAACGTATTGTTGTGTTAACAGTGCTCTGACTACATACGGCTTCCTGTTAATATATGGCCAATCTTCCACGTAGGCCCTTGTTTATTATTCCAAAGTTAAGTTAGAGTTTAGTTAATATTTTTATATTCTTACGTTCAGACCGCAAGTGGTTGGTCTCTGTATTCCGAAGTCCGGAAATCTTTGTAAAGAGAGAAAAATATAGGGTTTCGTATACCCTTCCTGTGTGTCTTGTCTACTTCCCACATTTATTGAACATAGCTTTAGTAAGCTCCCTGTTCCGAGTCAGGTTCTTGAATGTGCCCCAAGCAAGTAAGGCGGAACATTGAACCTGATACCCTGATGTTTCACGTATGGACTATTGAACCTTTAGTTTCTTGATAAGAGCTCCTTCTAAGCTCAAATCCACCATTATTGATGGGCTCTGGAAAGGGAATAAAAATCAATACTTCTGGGAAAATTTTATCAAAAACCCTTCTATAATGAAGATTACGATGCAAACTTGTAGTCCAGAAAAAAGGTTATCAGATCGAACATTCAAAAGAATACTTTACATTTTTAAACTTTACTTAAACGGATCCGAAATCTTTTTTAAAATGTGTAAACACCCTCTATACTTTACTGTAGCTTGCTACTGCTTTTTAAAAATGATATCAAACTTTGCACCTTCTCCATTTTACACCAATTCGCTGATCAAAGAACTAGATTCATCTTCTTTTTTTTCCTCTTCCCCTGAAGACATTTCCTCCGCATTTGCCTTTTTTTTTTTTCCCCCCCTCTAATTTTCGTGCTCTTCCCAGTGCTCCACGTTTTCAGTGTTAACTTCCATTCCCATGGTTTCGTCTAGAACAGGGGCCCCCAACCTTTTAGTCCCCGAGAGCACATTCTGGAGTATCTGTTGGATAACGGGCACTATTTACTTTTTCAAGGTGAATAGAGTTAATAATACATGCATATGTTACCGTGAAAGACCGAAATTGGAGAATGTCGACTTTCACCGGAGAATGTCAACATTCACCAAATACGTCGGTGAAAGATCGAATATCTCATTACATTGTTGCATTCGGACCCTCACCGGTGTATGTCGACAACCACAGATATGCTCTGGTGTAGGTCGAAAAGAGAGGAGTATATGTACACGCTGTCATTGCAAAAGGAAGTGTTCCACAAATAAATGCAGTTGTAAAAGCAAGGCCCTCTTGTGCAATTCAAAGTGTCATAATAGTTTAAATTGTTGCAATAAATAAGATTTGAATCGCATACTTTAGTAAGTTTTTAACTTCTATTATTTTCCTTTCTCATTTTGAATGTACTGTGTGTTTTTAAGTTCTTATTTTAAGTCTCAAGTGCGTTTTTCCCGACTAAATTACGGAGAAGGAAACATAATATTCTTATATGTTGAACATTCACCATTAGTACATGGTGAATGTCGACATTTACCTGTGCAAGTCAGAAATAAGTGTATTTGAAAAATATTTCGGACATACACCAAGCGACTATGTGAATGTTGACATTCACCGGTGAATGTCGACATTCTCCAGATTTCGGTGTTTCACCGTAACACATATAAGAAAAAAGATCGGTCGCATTTCGCTTTGTGTTGGTATCTGCGTTGGGCGCATTTTCTATTTCATTAAAAATGAGAAAATTTCATTAACACATAGAATTTTATTGAAAAATTAAAACATTTTTATTGTGATCGCAGAGCAGGAGGCATGCGTTAACTCTTTGAAGAGCAGTAGTTACCTACAGTAACCACCTTTTCTATTGAACGTCTTACTCACTCGTGTGAGTGATTTTTAAGACTGACCGTTTCTGAAGTTCTCTTGTAGCTCACTAGATGGTAATCAAGAAACATAAGCCAATAGTTGATGCATCAATTCATCTTCAAAAAAATAAGCATCAGCCATCAAGGACAACAACACGACGATGTGCAGTCTACAGCACCAAGAAAAAAGACATGTAAGAATAGTGTGGTAATGCAGCACGTGCAATATTGTGTAAAAAGAAAAACTGTTTCTATGAGTACCATAGAGACCGATTTGTAGGATGTATTCTGTGGGCGATGGTCACTGAAGTGATCATTGTTTTCCCGCGTCTTGGACAAAATATGTGTAATTGTCGTAAATAATTTCATTGTAAAACCGGATATAGTAATTAAAACAAGAGTTTTGCTGAAAAAGTTAACTCCCTTTTCCTAGCCCTCAAAGAGTTAAACGATCGGCGGGCCCCATGGTGCCCGCGGGCATAGGTTTGGGAGCTCCTGGTGTAGAGCAGGGATTCTCAACCGGGAGGGGGATTTCATGGTTTCAGGGAGGGAAAATGCGGTCAGCTGTTTATTTACCTGTTAAGTTTTTAGTTTATGAATATAAGAAACTACTTTTATTCAAGTTTTGGTATTTATCAACATTTTATATACTCTTTCGTGTTCAATTTATAAAACACATTAAATTTTCAAGCGAAATGAAAATACATTTGGTTTTATGAAACATCAATTTAATCTCAATATTGTGCCAATGAACTATCTAAATACCACTTGGCAATTCATTTACATATTTAACATTTACTAGGAATATAACTGCAGACATCTTAAATTATGTATCTTATTTCTCATATCATCGACCAGTTTTACTTAGGGTCATTTTGAATAAATAAATGTAATAAATAAATAAAATGTATATCTGTGTAAAATCTTTTGTTTGTTTTATTTGTTCCATAACATCCTCCCATTTAAGCACCAGCAGCTCTTAAAATTAGAGTTAAAAACTCTTTAGAAGAGAGAATTTTTTATATTTATGTATTGTTCTGTTGACCGTGAAAGCTGTATGATTGAATTATGTTGTTAACTTCTAGTTAAGGTTTTTATGCCTTTAGTTAATGTGCATGCAATAGGTATAGAATTATCATCAATTTAAGTGCGGTTTAAGTTAAGTGCAATTTAAGTTAAGTGCGGCTAAGCCTAATTTTTTTACCACAGCAGCCATTTTTCTTTACATTTGAAACTTAGCAGAATAGTGAATTAAATCAGTTCTGCAGCTTCGGAGTCTTTTTGTTGAAGGGGACCTAAAGTAAGCTTTCAGTTTTGTGCACTGAAAAATCTGCCTTCTTGCCTGCCGATCGAGCTTGCTTTTGCGTAGAAACTCTTAATTTTAATTGTAAAAATTGTTTTAACTGTATTTGGTGTTTTACGTTTTTCTGTGCTTTTCCATTTTTAATGAAGATATTTTGAGGTTTTATGTATTTTTGCCTTGCCGGGAAGTCAGAACTGAATTGATTGAATGAGAAATATATATCTAATGAAATTCAAGGAAATAAGTTTAAAGGAAATGCAGCAAAAAATGCGTCTAATTTAATATTCCGTGCAATGAAGTCATATGATGTCCGCATCAGATTTTTTAACTAGTCTTTTACTGAAAAAAGCAGTTATGCCAACTCAGTTGCATGTTAAGAATATGCATTACAATATATGGCACATATTCTTCAAGTAAATAGTCCCGTGATCGTATGACCTCCTTTACTTCAATCTGCTAACACATGGACTTCGACTATCTTCGCAAACAGAATGATTCTGCTGTCCATATTCTTATTATACCGAGACACGCACATAGTGTCCAGTATATATGCCGGAAATCCACACACTGCAGTAAAAGCAATAAAAAAGGATTTCATTCAATCTTTATGACCCTTTCCCACGCGTGCGCGCACACATACGCACATTTCTTTGTTATAACAGTTCCCATGGAGCCAGTTTAAAAATTCCACTATAGTTATTCAGATAAATATTCTTTTAGCTTAAAATTTCAACTATGGGAGACCTTTTCGAATATGATAGATATTTGAAAGAAATGTGCTTAGTCATAAAGAACTGAGCATATTTTATGTTATTCAAATAAATAGTATTTCAGCTTAAAATTACAATTGGGGGGATGTTTATGTGAGTATCGTTTGCTTCATTTTAT